ATTTCATTTGGTGGTTTGGGTATCTTTTTAAAATTGCAAATAAGATTAACCATCCCTGACTACTCATAAGCTCATTGCTTCTAGTGCTATTGGCTCACATCCAAGTTTTTTCTTCCTTCATCTACAATTGAAAGCCAATTAGATACTCTTCTCATAACAAAACGAAAAAGCAGAATGGCTCACTTCTTAGAGATTAAATGCCCGACATGTATTAATCCTAAATCTCAAAAGTAGAATTCATAGTTGCCAGATCCATCCCCCTAGAAAAAACTCTCTAACTCCTACACTCAGGTACAACCTTCTTTTGGTTCTTGGACTATATACATACACACACTAGATTAACTTTAAAAAAAAATTTACTCATCTAAAACCAAAAATGCTCAAATTATAAGTTAACGCAAACCCCAATCAATGAAGATAAATGCTATTTCAACATTCACACAATGATATGATAGCCATCTCAGCATATTATCTATGTATGCATATTGAGTAATTAATGCAAATTTTGTATAAACAAAATTTAATACCTATCTCAGCATGAAATTCATTTGTACAGATGCTTAATTATATATGTAAGCATTTATCTTAGAATATATTGCTACATGGAGAAAAGCACAATTAAAAATAAATAAATAAAACTAAGGATTTTTTCCTTCATAAAATTGATATAATTAATCAAATAATTATATAATTTTATATTCATAGAAACAAGCAAGAAGAGGTCGTGGTCCTCGTGGATGATCAAATAACTTCATTTGCATGGCTCATATTTTCCTCCAGACGAGACGTGACGACTCGATAAAAAATCACGCTCAAGTGTTTAATAACTGCTAATTATCTGCTCTTACACGTGTGCACTCGTAATCAAATCTTCCAGCTCTCTCTCTCTTCCTCCATCGCATTTTGATCCAGAAAATGCCGTGTAGCGTGTGCTTATGGCGCAGGTTACCTCTGCTTGTTCACGTGAAGAGAGAGATAAAAGAGGGATATTATTTGTAAAAATATTAATTATATAAGAATATTCTAACTTCTATTTTATAAGAATAATCTTTATAAATATTAAATTTTTTTTTACTTAAAAATAATAATAATAATAAAGAATCAATTGATTTTTATAATTTATTTTAAGAAAATTTGCTGGAATATTTTGATCAACGAGCTTTTATTTCTTACCAGCGTTTTCATTTCATGTGTTGTGTTTTATATTTTAACATAATAATTTTCTTTTTATGATTATACTAAAAATGAATTTAATTATATACAGTGCGTGAGAACCTAAAATACTATATAATATCATGAAAATATAAATTATATCATAATATTTTGAGATAATTTTTATTCTAATTTTTTTGGCATAGTAAAATAAATGTCATGGAATAAAAAATATTATTTTGTTATTATTTAATTCATCTCAAAATATCTAGAGCCAGTTTCTCACAAATAACGCGGCTAACAGCAAATGAATGGCCAATAAAAGCCTCCCATCCCCTCTCTGCTTCCTCTCCAATAAATCCGAGCCAACACTTTAAACCCAAATCCTCTCTTCTTCAACCTAATCATCACTGAGGACCAGATTTCAGATTCTTCGCAGAAAAGAAAAACAAAACATTAAAGCCAAGAAAGTTAGAAGATCGAAGAAGAAGAAGTAGAAGAAGATCAACTAATTATAGTTCTGTTATAAATTGTTTTCTCTCTGAAATCTTCATACAGCTTCTGATCATGCTGCCTAAGCTCAGCTCTTCCTCTTCCTTCAACTCTTATTTCTCCTGCAACTTCTTCGATTCAGGTACGTTTGATTAATTGTTCTAACAAAAGAAATCTCCTTTTTTACAGAAAGCTTATATTTTTCTTCACTTTTGATAAAAAAATATCTTGCATCCATGCTGTGCATAAACTGAAAATCAAAACAGCATTGTGCTTTCATCTAAAGATGTAATAATTCATGAACTGCTTCTTCTTAGTTAATACATAATTCCTTCCATTATAGTTAATCAACTTGGATAGATTTTTATTTTATAGTTTATAATATGCAGATGCTAGCTTCTATCTGAAGTTTCTACTGCCATAGTTTCGTGCTCTTGTTATACACATGCTGTATACATATAACTTCTCCCCCAAGTAACAAACTCATTTGTGGCCTGTTAATGCCAATCTAATCTAATCTCAAACAGCTGAAACAAGCAAAATATATAATCCGGTCGTGCAGTAAAGCATGTTGCTTAAATTAGGGTGATGAAGAAATTTGAGCATTTTGCGTTTGTATTCATATATGTTAATGGTTAGACTTATTACTTAAGTAAGCTAATATGAAACTAATCGAGGAAGGATAAGAGCTAATTTGATTTAAGTTTTTCGCACATAATTTGCTCAAAAAATAAAACATTGATGAATAAAATTTTATTAGAATATAAAGTGAGAGAAATATAAGAATTTTATAAATTTATTATAACCTTCATTTTTCTCATGCTACAGAAAACGAAATCCCAATGGCCCGAGGCAGTCTTGACGTGGACGCTGAGTACACCGAAGCCTTCCACACCAACTCCTTCCTCAACATATGGGCAGAAGCCCATGAACATCCCAGCCCAGCTCCCTCCCCGAGAAACAACCAGCCCGACAAAAGCCCACTTCCAAACGTTCTCCTCCGGCCCACCCACCCCCCCCGCCGCACCCGAATCCGGCGCCGGCCCCGCCCTTCTCGCCTACCTCGACGCCACCTTCCAATCCTTCTCGGCATGTGCGGTCCTCCTCACCTGCATTGACCGCACGCGCTCGGTACATCGCTCCGTTCTCAACAACTATCTACCCGGCCTCGCCAGCGGCGGCAACATATCCGCCGCGGATCTCTCCGCCTATATCGATCTGGGCAACCCATTATCATCAAAGAACCTCGCCCCATTTCATCGGACCCACTCGCTCTACCCGGCGCTCCTAACACGCCTCACCGCCGAGCGCAGGCGACTACGGCGGCGAGCACGTGCAGTGCGTGTTGCTAAAAATGCGGCGGGTTTGGTAGTCCTCACTGCTGTGGGTACGGCTGCGGTGGCAGCGGTTGTGATTTTGACGCATGCAGCTGTAGTGGTGGTGGCGGCGGCGGCGGCTGTGCCGGTGGTCGCCACCAGTTACCGGAGAAGGTGGCAGCGGTGGACAGATGTGAAGTGGATGGAGATGGAGGGAAGAAAGGTGGATGCTGCAGCAAGAGGGGCTTATATTCTGGGGAGAGATATGGATACGGTGAGTAGGATGGTGAGGCGAGTGCAGGATGAGGTGGAGCACAGGCGTGACGTGGTGAGGTTGGTGTTGAGGAGTGGGGAAGAGGAGATGGTGAGGGAGGTGGTGAGGGAGATGGAGGTGGGTGAAGATGTGTTTCAAGAGCAGATTGAGGAGTTGGAGGAGCATGTTTATCTTTGTTTGCTGACTATAAATCGTAGCAGGAGGTTGGTGCATGGCTGAGGATATGCTCATTGCTTTAATCTGTATAGATTGGTTTAATAAATGCATCTAGTAGTACTCTAGACTTTTAGAATAATTATTAGCATTGTCATTTTTAATGGTCTTGGTCCTTTGACATGCATGTACAATGAGAAAGGATATTACTTGGGGAGTTTTTATACATGCGAATTCTATATATAATAGTGTACATGTAGTATGTTATTGTGCACATATTATATAATTGTTGCATATAGAATCAGCATATATACGAACTTCGTAGTAATATTCCTTTGTTTGATGAAGCTTTTGAAATTTTATTTCCAAATAGTTTATAATTAAGAGAGTTTAAGAGGTTTTCATATTGTTGAATTTTCTTTTAATGAAAATCAAAGAAGATTTATGTTATACATTCTAAGAACTTCATGGTAATATTGTATTGTTAAAAGTTTTCTAATTTATTGTATCAATTTAATTAATAACGAGCCTGAATAAACTACCTCCATGGGCTCTTTATTATAACTTAATTAATTGTACTCAGCCTGTAAATATTTTATCTTAAGCTTTGAGTAGAATCTCTCTATATATACAGTTGCAATAGTATTATGCAGCATCAGGAATCAGCGTGTTTCTCTCCTCTAATGGTATCAGGACAGGCACTCTAAAGAAGTCCTCAAGATCCTCTCTATCTCTCTGTCGTCAATCCATACGTCAACAGAGAAGAAATCTGTAAGGCAGGATTCATTTGCTTCCCTTTCGTCTCTTTATTTCTTCTACAGCTTCCTCTCGTTCTTTGCAACAATGACTGAGGGTTTGTCTAGGGCACTTGTAGCTTATTGAATAATCCGCCAATCAACTGATTAAAAATAATCTACTGATAAACTTAGTGCAGTGGCTATTATAAATTTTTATTTTTTTTTTAAATGTCATACCGCAACCAGAAAATTATCACCTCATCTAGATATGTGCGGTGTGGTGCGGTGTGAAGGTGTGAAAACACTATTTTCAGTGTTTTGAAAACGCATAAGCTACCAAAACACAATTTACCCAAACAGGTCAGGTGAATTTTTAAAACACCACCGCACCAAATAAGCTGCATCAAAAGGACTCTGAATCTCACAAATCTATTATAATAGATAACTTAGTAAATCTTGAAATTTCAGAAAATCCCATCCCTCCCTCTCTGAAATTTATTATGGCTAACATCAAATCGATGGTTCCAAACGCTCTCTTTGAGGACAACTATCAAATTTGGCGCTGCTAAATTCTCAAGATCACCAAAGTCAACAGATTCTTGGGTTTTCTTGATGGAACCATCCCACCTCCTCTTCCCATTCTTCTCAAAGATTTGGGTATCTCCATAGCTAATTCTCTCTAAACTACTTAACAAATGGCCGAACAGAACATGGCTGCAGTGCTCTATTCAACCATTTCAACCACCATCTTGCACAATGTTTTACATTTAAACAACAGTCAAACCCTCTGGACTATTTTGGAAAAGTGTCTTCAGGGCCACAATTTATCCCATGTCATTTAATTGAAGAAAGAGTTGCATAATGTGTCGATGCAGGGTCTTACCATGTCTCGATATCTAATGAAAATTAAAGCGATTTTTGATAACATATCCATTGACAGTTGTTGGCTCTCAATTTGACATCAAAAATATCATTCTTTATATTCTGAAAAGGTCTCTCGACTTCTTATCTTGCTTTCATGACTGTCATAAGAACGAGATCAACTCTCATAAGTCTTGAAGAGCTATACGTTCTTCTACTTAGTGAAGATATTAACATATCAACAAAGCACAAATCTGGCTCCATAGAATTTAATCCTCTGCGGACGCTATACTCAAATTAAAGCAAATGTAAATTTTACCATAGTAAAAGCAAATCCACCAATTCTTAATCAAGACGTATTGTAGATGGTTCTTTCTGATCTACTCAAAGCTCCCTGTATGGCTCATTGTCAAATTTGTAATAAAAATTGTCATCAAGCGTCCAATTGTTAGCACCAATTTAATATCAATTATCAACCCAAGACTTCCTTTCTTATGACACCCACCACTCCTCAAGTTGTGTATATTACCTCTTAAACATCATATCATTAGCCAAATTGGTATTTTGATACAGGGGTTACTTAGCATGTCACTTATGACTACAGTCAACTCAATCAACCATAAACTTATTAAAAAAACGAGACTGCTATGATCGGAAATGGTCATACTATTCCAAAAAAGCATTCGAGAACAGCCATTTTACCAACTCCCACCATAAGATTTTTATATCTCTAAGTTAGCGCTTGACAATAATTGTATGATCATTTTTTATGCAAATGTCTATCAAAGAAGGATTGCAATACTCAACAGCTTCTTCTTCAGGGTCCCTGCAGTCATGGTCTCTATTGCATTCCCAATAACTCTCGCACCTTCATTTTGTTGGTCATTCCCTCCAGCCAGTGGCATCAGGAGCTACAACATCCACATCACCAAGTTATTCGGCTCATTGCTACGCAACAACTATATCTATGGATTTCTCCACATTTTTCTTTTTTTAATTCTTGTGCTACACTAAATGTCATCACAACTCTTTTCTACCTCAATCAACACACAATGCACTCCTTTAGCATTAATTCATATTGATGTATGGGGACCATCCTTTATAACTTCAACTCAAGATTACAACTATTATATGCTTTTCATGATATACTTGCTTTTATCCCATGCTTAACAATTCTGAAGTTCTTACTCATATTATTACATTCAAACAAGAAATCAAACTTCAATTCAATTAAACGATAAGGGTTCTGCGAGAGACAATAATGGAGAATATATCAGTTGACAATTTTTAAATTTTCTCAATAAACATGGTAATATTCACTAACTGAGTTGTCCATATACTCCAAAACAAAATGGAGTCATTGAATGAAAGCATTATCATATTTTGGAAACCACACGTGTCTTAATGGAGGACTCCAATTGCCACCCTCTCTTTAGCATGAGATGGTCCAAACAACCATTTACTTGATTAGTCGCTTGCCCTCCAGGTCATTAAAATTTTGTCGCCCTACTGGCTACTCTATGGAACCACACCTTTCTACTATCATCTAAAATCATTTAAATGCTAATGTTTTCCTTGGATATCACTTGTTCATCACCACAAACTGCAACAATGATCCCTTCCATTTTTCTTCCTTGGTTATTCGTCCAATGCCAAAGGGTATAAATGCTTTGACCCTTCTACTGGTAAGATGATCCTAAGCAGACATATTATTTTTAATGAATTTGATTTTCTTTATAAATTTTCACAACATACTGTAAGCTTTTCTCATGTGCCTCAAGCTAGCTCCCATTTTACTCTTTCCTTACCTCCACTTTATCAACAACTTGAACTAACATTTCTTCAATTCCATCAAACTGTGTTGCAACTCCTAAGGCCCGTTCACCAAGTTTTTTGTCTGGCATCTCACTCCCAAACACTTTCTCTCCCAACTTTGACACTGTCAACACTCATCTTGTTATCAAACCTACTCCCCCAACACATCGTATGGTCGCTCGTTCCCAAACTGGCTCTCTATCAAAAATGTGATTCTTGATCTCCTACATGACAAATCCCTATAGAAAGAACCCTACACTTACAAACAAACTATCAAATATAACCATTGGTGTCAAGCTATGTAGAAGAATTTTGTGCCTTACAAACTCTACATACTTGGAATCTGGTTCCTCCTCCCATTGATCAACCAGTCCATGGAAGTAAGTGGAAATACAAAATTAAGCGCGATACTAACGGTTCAATTGTTTGATACAAAGCTTGCTTGGTGGCTTTGGGTTATCAACAAGAATATGGTCTTAACTACACAAAGACATTAAGTCTCGTCGCTAAAACGTCTCCTACTGATTATCACTCTTCATTATAAGTGAAAAATATTTCAAATGGATGTATCTAATGCTTTCCTACATGGCCTTTTTAAAGAAACAATTTATACGCATTCAACCATCTAGTTACAAAGATCTCATGTAATCCGCTTATGTACGTCTCTTACAAAAATTTATGTATGGTCTCAAACAAGCTCTATGACAGTGGAACCACACATTCACATCGCGTTTACTCAGGTTCATATTCACCACCATCATCATCGAGCCGTCTTTTTTACATTTACCGCCATAATTCTCGCATACTTTATCTTTAACTTTATGTCGATGATATAATTGTAACTGGCAACAATATTGGGATGATGCAACAACTTCAACATGAATTAAAAAGTCATTTTTCCATGAATTTTTTTGATTCAATTTCTACATTCCATGGGATCAATATTAGACATACCTCGTACAGTTAATGATTCATTCACAGCTACCAACCTCTTTCCAAATCCATCTTTATATTGGCAACTTGTTGGCTCACTGAGGTAACTCACATTAACTCGACCAGTTATTATGGTTATTGTTAATTTTCTCTCTCAACATCTTCAAAACCTGCATCAGTCTCATTACCAACAACTTAAGAATTTTCTCAGACATTTATAAGGCACACTCGCGTTCGGCTTGTTGTTCACAGCTGGTCCTCTTTTTCTTCGCACTTTTGTTAATGCAAGCTGGGCTAGTGATCTTCATGATAGAAGATCTATCCATGGGTATTGCACCTTCATTGGTCCCAATATTCTCTCATGGAATGTGAAAAAGTTGCCATATCATCCACCGAAGCTGAATAACGTGCTCTATCCTTGGTCATGACAGTCGTTATATGGCTTAGAAGACTACTTCCATAATTTCAAATCTCCACTCCTACACCGACAACGTTATACTGTAATAAACTCGTCTGCCATGACCATTGCTTAGAATCTAGTGTTTCATGCCAAATCTAAGCATATTGAAACCGATTATCATATCATTTGGGATCAGATTAAGTCTAATGAGAACACACTACAATATGTGCCATTGGATGAAGAGCTAGCGGACATACTTACAAAATCTCTAATAACAAGCCTGAATAAACTACCTCCACAGACCCTCTATTATAGTTCAATTAATTGCACTTAGCCTGTAAATATTTTAGCTTAAGATTTGAGTAGACTCTCTCTATATATTACAGTTGTAATAGTATTATGAAGCGTACAATAAAAACAACAACAACAACAACAACAAAACCTTAATCCCACTACGTGGGGTCAGCTGCATGAATCCTTTTTCTCCATTGCATCATATTTAGTGTCATATTTTCATGTAGTTCTAATAAATTAAGATCAGTTTTTATACATTAAGCCCAAGTCTTCCAAGGTCTTTATAAGTTGAATCTAAAACAACTACTCTCCTAGTCGGATCATCAGATGGTTGATGTTTAATGTGACCAAACCGTCTAAGACGACTCTTTCTAATATTGTCTGTCACTAGAGCTACACCAATCCTATCCCAAATATATTTATTTCGAATTTTATCTCTAAGTGTAAAGCCACTCATCCGATGGCACGTACTGTTGTAATAGTATTATGCAGCATGATGAATAGAAATTCATTTTCCTGTTCGGTGTTAATCGGCTTCTTCCTCTATTACTTCCCCTTCTCTCATTAATCATAATAAATAATGAAAATTGTCAAATAAATTTGAGCTTGAAATAATCTGATTTCTCCTGAATGCAGAATATATAACCTGTGCTTTAGATATATATTTTTATATGATAATTTGAATGTTACATTCACGGTTAATAAAAATTAATAAATATTATATAGATGCATAGGGAGAACCTTTGATATTATATATTTTATCCTTTATTATTAATTTGTTATATTACATAAAACAATATAAAAGTACTTATTTATCAATTATTTCGTATTTGCCAACTTCAATGTCATGTTATCTTAAGATCCAAAACAGTTTGTCACCTCCCACAAGAGCTTTTAGGAGTGGTGGGCAGCCCATGACTTAAATACTATTTTTTGGACCTACACCTAGCCAATGTGGGACTTTTTGTTCTTTACATTCTTATCCACCCAATCACGTGACGCTTTCGTGACGGATCGGCTCCACCGAGGGTGCCACTAGACCATGAAGAGTCCACACACCTGACAAACAGTAATTTACTTTAATACTATTTGTCACCTCCCAAAAGAGCTCTTTTGTCTTTTGGGAGGTGACAAGCTGCTGTTGAAATATTTTAATTTATTCGGGAAGTTTTGTCGTTTATAGAACTAAAAAAATTATTGTGAATAATTAAAGTTTTATCTTATTGTTATATTAGAATTAAATTAAACAAATATTTATGCATTGGTGTTTCTCATGGGAAGATTTACATGCATACCGCTCAATGCCTACGTATCTACAAATCTAACCCATAAATTTCAATTTTTTACATACATATATACCACTTGTTTGTTTGCATGAAAACATGTATAGATTTCACTTTTTTAACATTAAAATGGTGATACCTTCATCGTGATATGAAAGATTTGGGTCAATTGGGCGGTTATAGATGTGAAAAGCAAAGTTTACATGTTAGATTTGTAAATGCATATAAATTGAGTGGTATGCCATATTACGTTATCGAGCTTGAGTTGAGCTTGAATAGGTCTCGAAGTGGAAGCAGCTAAGGTATTAGCGGTGTGTGGAAAACGAGAAGATGATGCTGCGACAACTCACGGAAAGATCCATTTAAATGACTAGCGATAGTTTAATTGAGTCAGCTCTCAAGCTAACGAGCCGAGACCGGACGAGCTCAAACTCGTTTAATAGAAGAGCTCAAATTTGAACTTGAACGAGCCAAACTCAACTCACCTAAACGCCTATAAGTAAATTACCCTTTCACATCTGTGAACTTTGGTGCAGCACTCTGCTTGGATTTAGAGAAGCTGGATGGAATTCAAACATGTTAAAATAATTGGGTTTACACAATTTAAAAAGCAGAAGAAAAATTATTATGTCTAATACTTTTTGCACTCAACCATCATTAATTCAATCCTAAATTAAAAAAAATGAATTAAAAAAAAAACTGCATACAAATCAATTCAACACATCATTTACATACTCATAATTTCTTTTCTACTTTGATGGTAATCAAATAATGTGTAATTATATACATTAATAATCAATAATACTTCAATTGATGTTAACTAAATATATAAAATTGCATTAAATATGATCAACCTCGATGATCGAAAGTGCAATAGATGACCAATTGCACTTTCCGCGGATAATTTCATATATATCATAAAAAACTCAACTTTCTTCAGAAAAGAAAAAAAGAAAAAAAAAAACCAATGCAAGAAAATAAATAAGCCTACAACAAAATCAAGTCAGCATCAGAACATCAATTCAACCATAAGATCTTGATTAAATAAACATTATATAATTCGTCAAGCCACAAATTTCAAGCAAAAAAAAAAAAAAATTATAACAAAAGAATGCGCTGCTCTACAGGTTGAATGCTACGATCAGTTAAGAAAAGGAGGGGAAGAAGATGACATTTACCAGCCCTAAAGACCAGATTTTACAAAGACAACTTAAAACAAACTATGGTTAACCTGTGAGTTAATGATCTTAAAACAAAAAAAAAAAGAAAGACAGAAAGAACAGTGTGGACTTGGCAGGCATCCAAGTCATTATAAGGAAGAAAGCCTTGCAGGCAACAAATGGATTTACTGAGCTTCACCAGCACCCGCGTCGATCGGACCATTTGGTCGTGCATCATGGCCCCTTCCTCGACGATTTAGCCCTCCGCCGCTTCCTCGACCTATACCATCAAGGCTTTAAAAGATCAAAGCCTCAAAATTATAATTCAACTTTCTTAGATAAAAATATATAATACACAGCAGATTCATAAATCAGCCAAGCAATTGGACGGGGTGACAAGAATTTCATTGCATTCATGCTCTGCAAAATGTAGAACATAGAGTTTAGTTCATCATATGTCACAGTACCTCGGCCCTGAGCAGGATCAGGAGGAGCATCCTCAATGTGGCTATCAATGGCTTGCGGAAAGTTGGGATGGCCACCGTAGCGCCCTCTGCCCCGGCCTCTAAAAGCACGGCCTCTGCCGCGTCCCCGACCTCCCCTACCATATCCGCGCCCCCTACCGTCCCAATTCCGTTCACCATAATTGACCGCCATAGGTCCATTTTCTGGAAGAGAAATGAAAAATACGCCTCATTTGACATGTGGAATGTAATGAGAATGAAAGACATGTAGACCATTGAATACCAACCACTTCCTCTTCCTCTTCCTACACCATGGCCACCACGGCCCCTGCCTCGGCCATGAGGAGAACCCTCTAATATAAAAAATGAGATATTTAGAAGAAGCAAATGGGACGAAAAAATTATTTGAAAACTAGTAGCCACTTTAGCTTTACCTCCCTCATAATCAAATTCACTGTTTGGTTTCACCTGATCTTCTGGTAAAGGAGATTGGTATCTACAAACAAATGATCAAACAGTATATATAATATCAATACATAAAGCAGAATTGTGGCAAAAAAGCTAATTCAAAGTACCGAACATTCATCACATGAATTTAACGGATATTAGAGATAATTCAAAAGTCAAATCACGTGTATCGAGTAAAAGCTCAAAATAAAAAGCGAAAATTATGAAATTAAAAAAATATAAAAAAACTCTCGATGATGAGAAAATATTTCTTACCCAACAGAAGACTTATCCAGCTCCACTTTAGAGAGGGTTATGCTGATCATGGATACATGCCTAGTGGTCTCAAGCCTGACAAAGAAAGACCAGCGATTAAACAATAAAATATGCAATAGGAAAAATGAAAAACAGGGAAATTGCAATTGAGTAAATTTGACAAAAGTAATTCTTACGGGAGTAAGCCTTCTTCTAATGGCTCCCATGTATCGGTTATATCTGCAGAACCAGTTGAAGTAATTTGATGAAGACCAGGAATTCTTCTCTGCAAGTCGATTATAAAAATGAAATCTTTTGTTACCACTATTTACCACTAGATTTTCATATGAGAGAAAGTGCTTGAAATGCATAATGATTAAAGAAATTACCTTAACTAGCTCCACAATCATAACAGTCTTATTAATAGCTCTCCCCATTGCCCTGAAAACAATTTCATTGGACCCTTCTTCCTAAAATACAAATGTAAGAAAAGCGTCAAAATAGTCGAAGAGCAGCGAAGCACAAACATATTGTATTTGATTGCTTCAGTTAGTCCTCATATAAAACAATAATGATAGTCTCACATACTCATCAATGCTGGAATAATTAATGTCTACTCAAACATTCTAATTAAAAGTAGCCTTTCGAAAATTCTTTAAATTGGCGAGTGATATGAATAGCTAATTACAGAGACTAGAGCTTTCAGTATCCTCTTAAGCTATAAGCATGTAAAATAATAAATGTAAGAGAATACTGCTCCATTATCTTAATATTTTTTATTTATTTTGTTCCAAACTGGAGTTTCCAGCATACATTTGAAATTGGAAAGCCTATTTTCATGTGATTACTCAAACCTCCTAAATGGTATCAAAGCCCCAAAAGAATACGCGAGCGCGCGCACACCCCCCCGCCCCCCTTATTTTCCCTTCCCTCAGCTTCACCACCACATTGATGAATTGCCAAATGCGGGCAGCCGCATCCTTGCCGCTTGCATACTATATGCAACCATTAGTTCTCCCATTAATGAATTGTGTCATTGTATGAAAAGCTTTATGACCTAGGCTAAGTGCTAGACTTGTCAACTTGATCACACCCACAGCCCAACCATCCATAAACCATGCAGCCCATATATTCACTACATTGTGCCAACCCCATCTTATGAAACTAGGATGCCTTGCCCTTGATCATAATGTTTGTATCACATGGCGTTCAATCATGTGTGTTGAAGTATGCCACCTCATGCTCTCAGCACCACAAAGCCTAGCTATGTGCCAACTCTCTAGGTCAAAACATTAGCCACCCTCAAAAAGCCCTGAAAAGCAGCTAACACTTTAGATCTAGGGGCAGAACATCCTCAATGCATCATCCCAGGCTCCTCTAGAAAACCCATGTTGAACTTTTCCTCTTCAAATACATGTTTCACGTTGTCATGTGTCATGGGTGAAGCAGAAGGATTATTATGCTTTCTACGTAATTTATTAAAATATTCTTCATCATGGCTCGCAATTTTAACTTCATGCATTCTCTGATGTGGAATGGGAAAGTCACAAAGATGAATTCACCTTTACAAGCAGCCGTGCCATGTGTCAAGGTAGAAGCTACATCTCTTAGAGTGCCAAAAAAAAATGTATCTCACTTCCCAAAGAGGCTAAATACCACAATTAAGTAGATTAGTTGTAATTATTCCCTAATCGCCAAACTCAGCAGCTTCCTTCCTCAAGCTCTAGTGATACATTGTAACAACATAGTTGCCATTTATCTTTATGTGAATCATGGCTCTCACTTATGGAAGAAAAATGGGGTTATTGATAATCATCTTGCTCTGGAACAAGTCCAAAATGGTGCATTTTGTCTAGCGTTTATGTCATCAGAGCATCAATCAATTGTTGCTCTTACCAAAATATTTATGCACACTTGCTTCTCTAGATTGACAATGAAAGTTGGCTTTTCAAATTAGAGCTACATCCTAAGGTGGTATGCAAAGGAATATATGTAAAAGAACAAATAATCATTGTAACTTATTATTTATCTATTTTTTAAAATCTCATATGCACTAATTTCATTTCATATTGGAGCTTCCCAGCTACATCTCAATTTGTAAAGTTACCCCTTCAAAAGCTTTATACTTTTATATATTCAAAGTATCTTGATGAAAGAATCATGTCAAACTTAAACCTCTTATAATACCATGGTTTTAAAAATTCTAGATTGGTGCCTCAAATGTCGTAAACAATCGTGAAGTGAGAAAGACTAATTGAAACAAAGCTCTTACGGAACACATTTTATTTTCTAAAGAATTTTTTATCCGAGTGTGCTGGTAAGAGGAGAAACATACATAATTTCGCTAATAAGGCATATCATTTTGTACCCTATCGCATAACTTTACCAATTCATAATGATGACAAAGAAAAATTCACCATACAAAATAATACACCAACGATAACAAGTTTTTATCCCACTAAGCGGGCCGGCTATATTAATCATTTTCCTCCATTGTGTCTTATTGAATGTCATATTTTCATTTAATTCTAATAAAATAAGATTATTTTTTTATGCAACATAGTAATCAAACAAAAAATATACCAAAATTTACTAGAAGTTGCCCAATAGAAATTAAAAACTAAGCTGCCTAAGAACATATTAAAAAAGAAGAAGAAGAAGAAGAAAACTCAAACAAGTTTAGATATTTATACCTGAAGAAGGCTAGAGGCGTAAGTGATGTAGCTGCGCATCCTTCCCTGAGTCGTAATACGGATCTCATTCTTGTTAATAGGCGTTTCCTCCCTAGGTTTATCAATCCTCTGGTACCGATCCATCTTCTTCTCCAAAGACCAAAGCAAAATTAAGATTTAAAAAAAAAAACGAAATCAACACAGAAATTGAACGCCTTCAATTTTCTCTAAAATAAGAAAATCCCACCAACCATCTCATCTTTCCCAGGTCCCTCCAACCTCTCTCCCAGAACCAAAGCAACGCACAATTCCTAACAACGACAGCCCAAAAACCTCCCAAACAAGAAAATTATAAATCTATCAAGGCAAACAAAAACAAAAAGAGAAACCACTTTGCCATAAATCCAAAAGAAGAGATCTTAACAAAAAAAAATGTATATACAAAAAATAAAGAACCCGACGGGAGGATGTACCCGGCGATAAAGGGAAACCAAAAAAAAAAAAAACAGAACGCCATCAAAACCAAAGGTAATTAAAAGATTTGGTTTCTTGGGATAGAAAAAAAACGATTAGTGAAGAACAGATAGCAAAGTAGATGATATGTCATTGTAGTATTCCAGACCTTGCCCTGCTCCGCCCTCTGGCTCCGGTTTCACTTTCTAATCAACGTCCCCCGAGTTCTCCCGAACATATAAATCCGCGCCGGAGTGAGCTGGTTCTTAGGGTTCGTTAACTAGAAAGCGCCCTAGATTTCATTACGGAGATTACGTGGCAGCAGAAGACCGCCGTACGATCAAGATTTGCGAACCACGATCCGCTGCGCCTCACACGTGATGACCCAAAAATGGACTTCCGTCTTTGTCCAGCGGTTGCAGCATTTTCAAGGAAATTTGTACGGATATCCACGTAATTTTCTCCTTTTTTTTTATATATTTTTATAAAGCTCCCTTTTTTTTAAAATGCCCGAATTTAAAAAGGAATTAAGATGGAACGTCATCCTACTTATAATTAATTAATTTGTTTTTTTAGTTTTGTGCATTATTTGAAATTGTAGCAATTATGCTGGTGTTTTTTTTTTTATAGTCTGTTTTATTTTTTATTTTTGATTATTATGGTTTATATATTTTTAAAATATAAAATATAAAATTTGTTTAGTTGACATTTTTTAAGAAAAAATTATGTTTTTTTTTTTAATATAGGGGTTGAGTCTATGTGTACTTTAGTATTAAACTTTGCCGCTCATGGTGTATACATCCTTCTTTCTCCATCCAGCACAAAATATTATATGTGGGTAAGCGACGATGGGTGGCGGGTTGCTGGCGACAAGCAGTCGGCAACGGTCATGTGTCGATGGCTGTTGCAGGTGGCCATCGGCTGCGAGGGGCAGCAGCAATATGTGGCAGTGGCAGCGACAGGCAGTCGGTGACCTGCGACGACAAAAAGTGGGGGTTGCAGCAGGCGGCGGAGACTCGCACGAGTAATGCTGTGAAAAATATGTCTTTTAAAACGACAACAAAACTAATGACATGTTTATGACGTTTGGAAAACAAATCTCATATTTTTTTAAAAATGAAATTTAAAAAAATAATAACAAATTTGCAAACAATATTGTCGGTTTTATTTTCTGGTGTTTGTTTTCAAAAATGAAAAATTGGAAACAAAAAGTGATCCGCTAAAGAAATACAATTGAAAGATTAAATGTATGATGTCTCATGTGGGACACATTGTTTATTGTGTATTTGTATTTTGGTTTCCTTCAGCCAGGGCGTCAATTCAGGTCTGCGTGTCGGGTTTGGGTTCGACCTAGAAATGACCCAACCCGAATAGAGTTAACTTGAACTTAACCTGAATAATAAACGACTCAAAAATTAAGGCCCTTATTCGACCCAAAATTTCATGTTTATTTGAGTCATTTTTTAGTTTTTAGATTCAGTTTGAACCCAACCCAAAAAATAAATGAGTCGAATTCTCTGCCCCGAACTCAACTCAAAAAAATTTTGGGTAAACCTTAACTCAGATTTTCACCCAAAATTTTTTGAGTTGCGTTTGAGTCGTGTTTGCGTGTCGAGTCAATTTTTGACACCACCAGCTTCAACACTTATTTGATTATCTTGACCTCAATTAGGTGACAATTATATCACATCTATTATTAATTTAATTTTTTTCATAAGATTTTTGACAATGGGGTAATATTTAATATCTTGGTGTTGCACAAAAATCAATCACACACGCATATAATATAAAAACATTAGAAGAAACGCTAAATTTACGTGTAAAAACCTTATTAAAAATCATGAGGAATGTATGGTCAAAGTAACCTCATCAGGCGTTTGTAAGTATATATGTCAACTTTTCTAATGAATTAAGTAAGATGGAATTGTGATGTCGATGCTACAAATGTACAATAGTTGTTCAACGGTAACATTTGCAATTGGGCTACAACAAATGAAGTTGATAATGAAGGTGTGGTCGGTGGCTACAATAATAACAATTGGTCACAGTGGTTGTAGTTGGAAGTTGCAACAGAAGTAGTTGACTACAAATGATGTAATTGGTTGTTGCATATATAGTCGTTGGTCGCAACGATCATGGTTGGAAGCTACAATATCATTATTTTGAAATATATGTCGTAGTTGGTGACTATAATAGTGTTGGTTGACCACATAAGTCATAATTAAAAGTTACAACAATAATAGTTTATCATTTAAGTCATAGTTAGCTACTATAATACTATTAGTTCGTCACATAGGTTATAGTTGGTGACGCAGCAATGTCAATTGACCACAGAGTGTGGTTGGAAATTATGATAGGAGTTTCATATTCTAGTTAAAATAGTTATGCACAATGGTAGTTGGTGGCTGGTGATCGACGGTTGCGAGCAGTGATGATCGACAATGATCAACGACTATGGAGATCAAAATTTATCATTGGGTTCTTAATACAATGATATAATGTATGATCGTATTTGGGATACAATGCTAGCAAGCAAAGGTCATCAACAATAACAAGCAAGGGCTATCGACTATGGCTGAAGACTACGAAGGTCGAAAGTCATTGTCAGATTTCCAATGCGATCTTAAACTTTATGATCATATTTGGTATATGATGTTGGCAAGTAGGGGTCATTGTCGATGAAAAAGTTGAGGCAGCCGACGGGTGGTGGTTGATCATGACTGGTAGTTATGGAGGTCGAAAGTTATCATCGGGCCTCCAAGACAACATTTATATGATTTGCTTGTATTTGGAATACAAATTTAACAAGCAGAGGCCATCTACAACGACAAGCATGGATGACACACATGTGTCTGTTGCGGCTGACGAGCACTGGACGATGGTGTTTGATGAGTACAGATACCAGAAGTTAACACTGTGTCTCGAATAGAGAGTTACACTTTTCAATTGTATTTGAGATACAACATTAACAAGCAGATATCACCGACTGTGATGAGTAGAGTCAGTCGACGGTGATCGAAGACGACCAACAATGTGGTCAACAAGTACAGGGACCATAAGTTATTGTCGCATCTCTAATATGACGTTATACATTACATCCATATTTGGGATGCAATATTAGCAAGCAAAGGGTCGTCGACGATGACGAGCAGGAGCAGCCAAAGTTGCTCAGCGGCTACGGAGGTCGAAAGTTATCACTAATTTTTTAATGCAGATCATGCTTTGGAGTTTGTTCCCCTCCTCTCCCCTCTCAAGTGAATATAAGAGATTTATTTTATAGCTTGTGGTTGGGGAATTTTAGTACTTTGGCCAATATCTTCCCCAACTACTTGATCGGATCACCCACACTGACCCTCTTGATTATTAGAGGTTTTATAATAATTTTAGGGTATTATTGACCTCAAAATTAAGCGAGCTTGTGCTCATTGGATCCCTCTGATCGAGGTGCTCGATTTGCATATAAATATGTCAAATTTAATGTTCATTTAAGCCACTCAATTGACAATCTCAAGCTTTGAACTCAATCATTTTAAAACTATGAACTTTGATCCATTCATAACCACTAAAATTCTAAATTTTGAAATGTCGAATATTGAAATATGAATAATATAATTTAACATTTATATTTAGAGTTTTCTCCGAATTTCACGACTTTGAAATATGTAATTAACTATGAGAGATTGTATTTGTAGGGATACTAGACTCCGTAATAAAATAAACCATAAGAGAAAAATTATTGGTTCATGTAGACCCATTAATCCATATGATTCTCATCATCTAACAGATCATGTTCATTTCAATATAATATTTATGACTCTTGGGGTAGTATATTATTTTTCAAATTAAACATTTGATTATTTAGATTAAAAACTTTTGAGATTCGTGATAGACAAACTCGAACATATAAAACACCAACATTGTACACCTAAAAATATATATTTTTATAGAAAATAAATATGCTAATATATAATAAAATATGAAATTATGTACATGCACGATAGATATTCTTGTATTTAAAATTAAATTTGAGAATTGAAATTGGCCCGATTTGCTGGTATTATTGATGATAGGGTCCTAAATAGATTCCCCTTAAGTAGGGTTTGTCAAATTCAATAAATTCTGATATACTAAATAGCATGTGCAAGACATAGCTCATCCGTAATGACATAATAAATCCGCATTGCAATCGGATTTAATAAATCATGATTTAAGTACTAGAAATGACGGAACACGAAAATAAATGATGAAACACGAGCAAATTTGATTTAACGAAACATTGAATTTAGTTTAATTTTTTTTTATATTTGATTGGACTTAAGTTAAATCTTTTACCAAATTTTATTAATAATATGTTATAATGTTTGTTTTATGAATTTATGTAATTTAAAGGTTTGGTAAGTAATTATTTTTTTTAATGTGAAAACCAGATTTCCGGGGATTTTGATGCTCAAGGGTAACGGTGCTCTTAAATCAGAATTGAAAAAAAAAAATCGGCTTTTTAAGGCCAGCTAGCGTCCGTGGGTTTAGGGTTTTAGAGCCCGAATCTCCTCTCTACCTCCACTCCTCTCGTGTGTGTGCTGAGAACTGAGGCAGCGGGAGGTTCCTTACTGCCTTGGAGCTAGGCCGCTGGGATTTTGGGCTTACCCACTTCAGGTGACCTATCTTCTCCCAATTTGATCTAGCTGCAGAGAATCATGTGGGCGATTCGTAGAGCTTCAAATCCTATAAGGTTATTCCCCATTTCCCTTTTCATTTTTCGAATCATCGTTAAAATTCGTTCGATGCTTTTTATCTCAGTCCGGATGGCTTTCTTTTTCCCAATTTTTGTGGTATTCTGTTGTTCTATCTACTGTTTACCTGAGTTTCAAAGGTTATTCCTTTCCTGTTGCTGTATCCTGTAATGATAGCTGGTACAATAGCTTTCTTTTTTATTGAAGACATTCAAATAGCTGTAATAGGCATAAGGTTAGTCATAACAGGATTATCAACTCAGCTCATTAAAGCAATCAAAATGCCTTTAACCTTAGTTTCATTGTTGCCTTATCTTATTTATTTATTTTTTGGTGAATGGCGAGTGAAAAATCTAAACTTGTGTGGCTTGAACTTGTAACCTTAACAAAACAATCTTCTCCAGCAATGGGCTACAATTCATTTCATGCTTCACCTTGCCTTAGATAATCAAATTTATATATATTTTTGTTCCTGTTGTACGCGAATCATTAGTATGCTCGTTTTTGTCAATATCTTACTTAGATGCAGGCCCGCCAAAAATTGCTGAGGGTAATTTTCAAGTTTTCTTGTATTGAGATGAAACAATAACTATGCATATGAACTAAAGCTCATGAACAATATCGGAAAATATTCTGTTACTGCTGTCAACACAGATGATTTGTTTTGTTTTTATCTAATCAATTTAGTTTTACGGCCAGGAAACAAAGTTGCTGCATCCTGTTCAATCACACTTTTTATGCTAAACCCGAAGCAACTAATAATTTGGAAAACGGAGTTCAGCATTCAAAATTTTGTCTAATTAATGGAGTTTATAATATGAAAAGACCTGTTTCTGGTGGAAGCTATCATCTTGCGCTGCCTTTGATTTGGGGAAGAAACCTTTCTTCTCAGGTTGGACGTAAGTCTAGTGACAAGGAGGATGATTTTGAGGATGGGTTTTCTGAACTTGAAGCACCTCCAGAAACTGAGGATATGGAAGAACTTGCAGAAAAGAATGAAGATGAATTGTCTTCTGAAGGAGATAGTGCGGGGGAAGATGCTGGTGAAGGAGAAAAGGGTGCCCTTGCACTTTCTGATACTGAAACTTCTGTTGGTGGAACAGAACATGCCAAGAAGGGTCGTAGCTCTCCCATTTTTAAAATCATAATGGAAGCTACTCGTCCTTCTTTAAACAGCGCCCTTGATCAGTGGATGGAAGCTGGGAATTCTTTGGGACAAGGCGAAATATCACTTGTATTGCTGAATCTTAGAAAGCGTCGGTTGTATGGAAAGGCCTTGCAGGTGAACCATATGTTCCGATGCTTTGTATTTTAACTTTTTCCTGCAAAGTTTCTCTTCTTTTGTAGGTCCTGATAATCTATGTGATGAGTACTTTCCAGTCAATGCTATTTAATAATTTATTGGTACGAATGGTATTAGGTTGATAAATGTGTATCATGTCACCCAAAGTTTTAAGGTATTTTTTCTATTATTTACTTATGGTCCATTCACAATAGAAGCATTTTGCAAACAATATTTGAGATTTTGCAAGTTCAAGGATTGTTTGAATGCTTTTACTGGCTTTAAGTTTATTTTTTGCTATTTGCTTAGTAAAACGTTCGAATTGTATTAAATTGATATTAAAATGTATGTGTATTATAAAGATTTCTTTTATAGAAATTGTAACGTGTAAGACATTTGAATTATTTAAACTAATTTTAATATATGAAAAACTAAAATTTTCTTAACTGTAAAGCTACAATATTCTTTGAATTTTGTTGATAAGAGGAGAAGATTTTCTGTTTAAAAGAAGTAATTGTTTGTTCTGAAGTAGTATTGTCTCCCAACCTCACCATACTTACCAATCCTTTTCTGTAAGCACCTGTTCTGAAATTCACAATATTTTGATGAGAAAATAATTATTCAATCATAATTTTTGGAGATTTCACTTACAAATAAAAGGTTGCAAGAGAGATTTGGAGCATGTATGACAAAATTTAGGACTACTCCAAAGTCAATTCTAATGGTTCCAATCCCTTTAATAGAAGATAGAGATTTGTCAACAAGTTTGACTCTCAGATTTTTAGACGAGGGTGTAAGATGAGAATAAGTGGAGACTATCTATAATATGATCCGAAGTTATAGTCTCAATGATCCAAGACTCTTTATCGCTTTTAATACATGTAGAAATTTTGAGCAAGATTTTTTTTTTCTTACCCAACGACAAATTAAATCCTACTATATGTAATAGAGTGGCTGGGATACCTGTCCACAAATTAGGAAAACTAGAAAAATAAGAAATGTCTACTAAAGGAAAATAAATATTAAAAGATATTTTGTGTGAAGAAAATAAAATCCTTCCTAATAGAGTATATATGTTGATTACTTCCAACACTCCCTCTCAAGCTGGTTTGTATATATTATACAAACCAATCTTGGAAGTCAATGTATCATGATTGACCCATGGTGGTGCATTGGTGAGAATATCAGTATAATGAAGTTTTGTTGGAACGTAATTTAGCTGAATAATTCCGTTATTAGCCTTTTCTGTGATGAAGTGTCGATCAATCTCGACATTTTGCTTTGTCATGGTGCTCAAGATTCTTGGCTATACTGATAGTTGCTTAACTATCACTGAACATCTTAATTTTGTTCTATCTCAACATTAAGTTTCCTTAATATCCTTTATGTTACATTCCTTCACATTTTCATTGTACATGAGCATGATATTCAAATTCTGCACTACTTCAAGAGACAACAACTTATTTTTTTTGCCTCTCCAAGTGTCAAAACTTCTTAAGATGTATGAACAATAGCCAGTGGTTGATTTTCTATCAGTTACCTCTTCTGTTCAACTAGCACATATGTATATTTCAATATCACATTTTTCAGATTTTTTGAAGAGCAAACCATATCTAGGAGTTATCTTCAAGCATCGAAAAATTCTATTCACTATTTTCAAATGATCCTCACTTGGATTAATTACATGTTGACTTAATACACCAAACAAATACAGACCATTAGGTCTCATGTGTGATAGATAGATTAGCTTTTCCAGAATTCTTTGATAGCTTCCTTTATTAACTGGACTGTTTGTTTCACATTTTTTAGCTTTTTATTGGGATCCATGGTTGTGTCAGCTGATTTATTTCCAAACAAACCAGCTTCATTTAACAAATCTATGATGTACTTTCTTTGGGGTATGACAATTTTCTTCTTAGATCAAGTCACCTTCATTCCCATTCAGTATATTAGAGTTTCGAGATTTTTGATATCAAATTCAGTTGCAAGCATCCTTTTTAGTATGCCACTATTTCTTTTGAATAATTACCTATCAAAATAATATCATCTGCATATACTATGAGAATTGCAATTTTGCCTCTAGGATTGATTTCAACAAATAGTGCATAATCAACTTGACACTGATGACTCCGATTTTTAATCACAATTTTAACAAATTTGTCAAAGCAAGTACGAAGAGTTACTTTGAGTCATATAAGAATTTCTTCAACTTACAAACTAATATGTTGTTCGCGCTATTTTTTAAACGTGGAGTGATAGTCTTTAGATTTTCTTCATCATGGTCCTCATTTAAGAAGATATTTTTGACATTCAGTTGGTATAAATACTAATATTGGTTTACTGCAAGGGAGAGTTGAACCCGAACAATATTGAGCTTCGCAACATGCACAAATGTTTTGTGGTAGTCAATCCAATATGATTGTGTGAAGCTCTTGACTACCTAGCTGGCTTTGAATCTCTTTTCACTTCCATATCCTTTGTATTTAACCATGAATATCCATTTGCTACCTACAAGTTTTTTTCTATAAGGACCTTCGTAAATTTCCATGTGTTATATTTTCAAGAGCCCAAATTTCTTTAATTGCTTGTTTCCATCCTATAACCCTTAAAGCTTCTTGAAAAGAGTTGGGAACTTGCACACTATCAAGTTTTGTCAAAAAAAATCCTTTAAGATGATAACAATTTTTCATAAGCTACATATCTTTAGATTGGATGATCATCACACCTTCAGATTTTTCATAAGCTACATATCTTTAGATTGGATGATTATCACACCTTCAAACACGAGATAAACAATCCATATCATTATGATTATCAGGTGCAGGAGGACTTGGTTCAGGTTCTTGACAGTTTTTGATCTGCATGGTTCTGCTTTATTTGCTCAGTGGCTCTTTATTTTCTGGTATTGACACGAAATTCTTGATCTCTGGTATCAATTTGAGGTGGAGTAGAGACATTTGGAATAGCTTCCGTGACATAGTTTGATACCTGAACTAATTAGAGAATCAACGGAAACAAAAGCGACTTTTATTAATATTGAAGTAAGGTTACAACGCAACACAAATGAAAAGGGAAACTTCAACATTAAACCAATTCTCCGACTAGGACTTGAAGAAATGATTCGGGAGCGGTGACAACGCTAACGAAGCGACAAGGGAAAAGGGGTAGGTTTTAAGAATTGTCGGATCTGTTGGAAGGGTGTTTGTTGGCTGGTTGAGGATTTGGGAGAGTGGGGCGGTAGGAGGGAAAGCTGCAGGGAAGGGTGGTGAAGGGTACTGTGTGAGCTAGACAACAAGGAAAACTGTTGTAGGGGGGGCTCGACAGGCTGCAAGGGGCGATTGGGAGGGCTTGACAGGAAGGGAACAACAGGTTGGAGGGGAATAGGGTGCTGAAAGGAGGATTGGAAAGGTTGGACAACAAGGTTGTGGCGGAAAAGAGCTGACAGATCAGCTGGGATGGTAGAGAAATGGCTAACAACTAATGGAAGGGAAGAGAAGGGTAGGGAGGAGGATAGAGGAAGATATATCACCACCTTGGAGTATGATACAATCGGAGCAGCACTACCTCCTCGGATACAACCCTAGAACAGAGAGAACAACTCCACAAAGGAATCAGAAAGCAACACACAACAAAACTAACCCTAATGCAATAAAGCAATAATATAAAGACTCTCTCATGTAAAACATAGATAAGGAAGGATATAGGGAGGGTCGGCGACACTGCCGCTTTTCCAAAAGTGCCGCTCGATCGAGTGGCACACAGGAAAGGAAGTAAATCCTACTCGACTCCTGTCTCATTCTGAACCAGTTGCCTCAAGCAGTGTTCAAACCGGCTCCCCTACGCCAGCCGATTCAGCCGGTTGGCTTGTTTCCCCCCTCCGTGCGGGAAACTCCTGTACCCGTGTCATTCTCTCGGGGTTGGAAGTGCTTCGACTTCATTCGTCGAACGTTCTACTTGTCTCTAATCCTGGTGACACCTTGGCCCCACTGCCGGCTGCAATGTTGACCAAAGCATCTAAGAAATGGCACCACTTGCACGCTCATGTCCCTATCGATCCACCCTTCTGAGACTGTGGCCCATGCCTGCCCTGCTGGATCCTCCATAAGTAACACATGGTCGGGTCAGGGGTCGTGAGAGTAGCCTGAATCTTTCTGTCTGGTAGTGGTGCTAGTGGTACAATGTTGATTGTGAAGCCCTGACATCCTCTCTGGTGTAACTATCCCGTGCCTTGAACCCATCTCAATACACTCATTCTATGTCGTCAGTAGAACTGGCCCTACTAACGTCACTTTGCCGGCAAGGAGAATGAAGTGCTTCTCCTCCTGGGCAAATGAGTATGTGTTTCTGAATCCATCATACTGAGTCTTCCGGTCAAACTGTCACAGCCGTCTCAACAGAAAGTGACAGATGTCCATAGGGATTGCGCGTCAAACCATACCTGGGCCTGCAGTTGGCCTTTTTATCGGGAACTCAACCAAACATCTCCTGTCGATGCTAATCCAATTCTCCTTCTTTATCCATGTTAGTGAGTACGACTGAGAATGCCTTTTAGTCGCAAGTCTCAATTTCTCTACCATCTGTGTCGATGCCACATTTTGCTACTCTTGCTGTGGATGATGAGGCTGTGAAGCAGGTGTAGAATATGTTGCGGCGAAGCCAATGCGGATCCCTTGTATCTTTAATTTGCAGGATTCGTCGAATCAAGAGCGGCTCTCCTTCGTCTGGTGGGAGTTGATACACCTCAACCTGTTCTTCAACTTTTTATTCGCCCCTAACCTCCTCCACGACACCCTGATCTGTGAGTGTGACTATCCTACTCATGAGACAGCTAGAGGTGATGTAACCACCACCGTGACATCTATAACACTTTATGGCTGATACAATATTGGAGGAGCCACCTTTCTTCTGTTTCTTTCCGCTATAATCTGAAGGGTCATTCCCATGATCGGGCTTGCTAGTGTCTGCTGAGGTACCATTGTTGGTCGTGGTAACTGTAGGTG